CCGCCGCCTGGGAGAGACTTCATCCATCTTTCCCCTTCCTTAACTCATTTGCCTCAAGGCCAAATGCACACCATGAGAAGGAAGCATCACCAAATCTCAACAATGACAAATTACCCACACTGTGCCGCTACTACTGCTACTAATGTCACCAATCGACCCCCTTCCTCTCTGAAGGTCAAAGGTCAGCAGTCAAGGAACGAGTGACAAATGCAAGGTGACACGAAGGACGTTGAGCAGTGCCTCGGCACGAAGGCAAATGAGTGAAAGAGGTGTCCGGCAAAGGAGTGGTTTTAGTGCGCAACGCTGAGTGCTAAACGAAAGGCGGAGGAGAGGAAGAAAGGAGTGAAGTAAGGGAGGACAATAACCCCCAAACAGTCACCGTGTTTTTATTTCACTCTCTATATATGTCTTCTTCCAACGCGACATTGTTGGGCTGTGCGCACGTTTGTGAAGAGAAGTGGCTTTTGTACCACAACCTTCGTTAAGCCATCGAACATATCATGTCGCATCCCCAAGTCACCATCCCTCTTTGCCTTTGCGTCAGAATTGAGCAACCATATTTCAAAATAACTGAAGACCTTAAAGATGAGTTTTGTGTTGACTGTGAGGATCAAACACTCCCGAGGGTGACCTTTTCGAAGGACGTGTCACAGTGGGCAAGGCCTACCTAATTGAAATAGCAACTAATACAGTGCGTAAAACGTCCTTGTAGGTTTTTTGCATCACTAAAGAAAAGTCACAAACCTACATAGTTACACACACCTCCTGGGAACGTAGCTGCGAGTACTCGTTTGGTTACGCATTTACAATTTCTGACTTCAATTCAAAGATGCCTTCGAATTTTCTTTTCACAGCACTTCCTATTGCCTTTCCGCCTGGAGCAACTGAAAACCCAGACCATATTGGAGTTCAAAAGGGCGTTTAAGTGATCCCCATATTCAAAATTCATCTAATTCCGATTTCCTAATAAGGGAATTCCACCTTTAAAGCGGAAGACGGACACTGCGCTTAGTGAGCGCGTGATCGCCTTCAGGACCGAAGTCTAAACTCAAGTCCATATTAAATCACAATTTCCCACAATACCACCCGCCTATTTTTAAAGCATCAACAAAGGTGGCATCTGAAGGTTTCAATAGAACCACAACTTAATACCTCAGGAGTGAAGTTGACAGACCACTGACATTACTAATGAAAGGCAAGGAATTGAGCAGCAAAAGTAAACACACAAGTTGATAAACTTTTTCACCAATACCAAAACGACTAATTACAGCTGATTTACAGTTCATTGAATTAAACCTCTGATTCAGTAAACATCCTAACCCCTAATCGCTGATATCTTGAGGAAAAATAATAACACACGCCATGGCATCTGATCAGTGGCAAGTTTTAGAAATCAGTAGGCCAGCGGACATAAATAAGTCGCACTCAAAAGCGCACAGACACTGGAAAGAGCCGACTAGTAGCAAGATGACTTGGTCGATGAGCGCGGAAGCGAGGTAATACGAGGGAAGGAAAGGGCAATCCCCATATCAAGGTGAAAGCCGCCTGCGCTGCGTGAAATCGTGATAAACAGGGGCTGTGGACGGTACATGACCATCACTGGCAGCTGCAGCAGCGTCCAATCGAATACGAATCTCGTCAGTCATCTCAAACATCATCTCGCTCTCATCCGCCACAGACGTCGTTGCCATCTTCTCAGCGCGCGCATTAGGGACTTGCGTTTGACTGACGCCACCGACGACGCTTTGTTTAGCCAGGCTCATACTTGTCACACCCGGCCGTGGCACCGGGATGGACCCGACGATTGCGTCCTCGTCAGCCAGGCTCTTCTCTGAGTCGTCAGGAGAGGTGGGGATGCGCTCGAAACCATCCTCATCTGATTTGCCGCTCGTACCATGCGCGTCATCGAAACGAAACTCGCCGTCCGGATTCAAGTATGCTGACATTGTTCAAAAATAAAGAGTCAATTACATTCATGGCTGCGCAAAGCGAATTTGAAAATGGTTTTACTCCACTGCAGAAGTGAACCTAATTTATGCGCTAAAATGTGACACATTTGTCATTGAAATAAACTCACAAAGATTATTTTTCCCGAGAAGAGTTGCTTGAAGCGTGTGAGATCAGCGCTTAAGTTCACAGAGCATAAAAAAGACACTTCGACAATTTGGAGGTGCTCTCCTCATTTACTGTTGACGACTCAGGATAACATTCTACCCAACTTAGATATTCGGAGGTTACCCAAGTTTTATAATGTTAATCATTACATACTCTAACCTTACTTGAGACAGGACAGACAAATACGTATGACCGCAAAAGCTAACCTCAGTGTTTGCTCGATTGAACACTAAGGGCAAAAGGAAAAATGACATCGGTCCATCATTCGAAATGTCGTTCCATGCCTCAAAGTATTTAAAGCGACGCTAAAAATCAAAGATTCCCCGGCCAAAGCAAAACAAAAACTTAATTTGTGAAAAATTAAGACTTCACTGTTTCGCGAATGCAACGGCAATCCTCATTTAAAAAACTAAACACATGCTTCCCAAAAAAATTTCACTCTATAGCCTCTTCTATCCACTGCCTCAAGTCTCTACCAACAGTATAAGGTCATCGACTTCAAACAAACTAGTTTCCTATGCACCAATCCGGGTACTGAAAAGAAATAAAGTAAAGTACATCAATTAGAGCAGTCGCACTATAGAGGCCAAATCCATTTCATGGGTTTCTAAACAAATTTAAATCTATACACAATGTTCAAATCTACAGTACACAAGAAATTGAGCCCATGTAACTTAGATTTTATGGAAAGAATGGCTTGGAGAAAAGAGTACACATTATGAGGGTTACCCCAGAAATTATTAAGTGATCATATCGTAAAACCTTACATGCTGGGTAGGTAACCACTTTCGGAAATCGAGGTTTAGTGAAAAGAGCATGTAAGTGCAGATGCTATCAAAGCCTCAGACTTAGGGAAGTAATAAAGAGAATCAAATCGATTAGATAGACCCAAAGTCGACAAGTTTTTTATAGACAAAGCAATTTAAAAGAAGGCATGTAGAAGGTAAAACACCAATGCGGGCAAAGCACCTGGATCAGGTGGTGAGGGAGAGTGCTTATCTTTGGGTAGGACAAGTTTGGCGGTGGTATTCGGGGGTGGTGAAGGAGTCCTTTGACGTGGCCTGCTTTCTCCTGAGGAGATGAGGAATGCTCCTGAGGCTTTCAACTCATCGTGAGCCTCCAAAGCAGCTTTTAGGAAGCGTTGATCCCTCTAGGCACAGAAATAATAAATATCAAGTCTTGAACGCCAGGTAGAACAAATTAAGACACTAAACTACCTCCATGTGAGACCAAGGACCGAATTTAACCAACAACCTTTCCCTCTCTGAAGCAGCAGAGATGGGTGCATCACCACGAATATTTGTGGGAGTCTCTGGATCGAAACGATCGAGCTGATTCTGTAGAGACGTTACAGGATGAGCGGGAGGAACTAGTCCTTGTAATGTGGAGACGGCAACCTTGCTGCTTAAGTTGTACACTGTCATGAGATAGGCTGCGACCACAGCAACATTAGCAGACATGCCGGATTCACTAACGACGGAGAAAAGACACAGAATACCGATTTCCCACCAGGCAGAATACGTGAAACACTTCTACAAAGTACGACATTCATATTTACTTGAATAAGAATTTATGGTGGAACATACAGCAATTTAATAAATTAGCAATAAACCAGCAATAAGTTCGTGAGGGTTTAGAACCATCGCTACTGTGCACCAGAATTTTATGCAATGGAAGTGTTCTTCAGGACTGACAGGATGTATTTTAGCAGCATAAAATTACAACGCACCTGTGAACAAGAACGTTTCCGCTCTGCATTCGCGCAGCATGAATGAAGTCATTTGTCTGCGGGATTACCCTAAGTAGACATTTACTAGCCGGTTTTCCAACATAGACCTTAAGGTATTCGTATTTGGATAGCTAAAATTAAAATGACGGTAAAAGACTAGCGAACCGAACCGGAACTCCACTTATACAAAAGCATAGATAAGAGGATGCATTTAAAGGAGAGTTATACACCATATCTAAACCACTCTGATAGACACAAGTCTACAAAGGGGTGGACTGTTTATACTTCAGCCCGACTCAAGAAACAGAGACCTCGACGGACAAAAAACTAACACATATGCACGAACTGGACTAATAATCAATAGCCCACCTTATTTATCTCAGCTTCGGTGCTTTGAACTGTAAGTATGTGGGTAATGCAGTTGGCAATGAGTTCGCCTTCATCTCTTGCGTTTTCATTGCCTCCTATGTAAAGATGAGGAAGAACTTTTGTCATATTTCCACCCATTTTGCCGCTTGCCGACCCGAACCAATGACGCCAGCGGGTCAAGCTCCGAAGAATAGGCACCTGTACCAATAACCTAGCCTTCAGGAATATTATTTGGTGGAGCCAAACCAATAAACCCAAGATAATTAATGTAGTACCTGTAATAGGAATCAGGCATTAACGGTTAGAACTAAACCTTAAAATACTTTAAGGATTCTGCAAGGGGAATCCAGGACACATTATTTGACCGATATGTAAACTGTTAATAAGGGGCTGACCAACCTTATCCAATACGTTTCAGTTCATTTTATATAGTCTTCGCATGTGCTATGGTAGAATGTATATATTAAAAATTTCAATTTATGGCACATATTACCAGGTTTTGCTTTTATACTCGACTATATAATCTGGATTACTTAGGCGTAATCGGCTTCTCAATGACGCAGTTCTACAAACCAGCAAATCTGCACCTTGCTGGGAGTAACTCTTGAGTATTTATATGTAATTTTTTACTGCAATACTCTGTTTATGCGGCTGTGGCTAGAGATGTGGCGTCCCGAGACCTCCCACAAGGTGGAGGAAGGCATTATACAGGGCTATATACATGTATTCAGGGAGAGTAAAGGAATTAAGCCCGAGCTCGGTGTGGAGGCCGGTCCACCCACGCAAAAGCTCGAAGAATTTTAAAACAACTGCTGTAGCTACTGTCTGTCTACCCTCTGGCCCCTGGTTCTCAAACATTAAGAGGAAGTTGGCTGCAGACGGTTTATTAGGCACCGCTGTAGGAAGGATGGGGAATAAGGTACAGATGCGGTGAGTAGGAGATATCAATCGCAGGGAGGCTCCTCGCCGACCTCGCGCACGTGATCCACATTTCCAATTGCTTTCCGCCTCTCACCTATAAAAGTCCACTTAAACAAGCTAGAATATATTACAACTGCCAGACATCACGTATTCACATAAACAAAGTATTGGCCTAAGTTCCCCATTCTTTCCTATATAAACACAAGGAAATTAGGCTAAAACAGGTTGCATGCATTCGGCAAGCATGATGACTTGTGACCATTAACGCACTGACGGAGCATACATGCCCTCCTTCTGCTAGAACTGAGATTTAAGTGGCCAAATTGCGGAAAAGTCAAATGCGAAGTTGATAGAACGGCCTGGAAGCCATTTCATCCAGCACAGATATGCTTGGACATGAGCTTTAATTAAGAAGCTGTACTAACAATCTTCCTTGACATATGCATCACCTAAACTGACAGCAGCCTAATTGGGTTTGAACTGCAGCAAAACCCATCCAAAACTGAGCCAGTGATGGGGTTTTTGAGGTCACATAGGACTCCACTTGGATGTAGGTGTGCATTGATTTGGCCTTATTTATACAACAAGATGCCCGACTTTTTCAGTGTTTGTGAACTAAATTCAAAGTCAAAACACTCGTTTGAAATGATTGTGTGGACCTTGGATGGGGGTTATTCTAGGAAGTACAGGTCACATTCGACTTAAAGATAA